TTTTTCTTATATGACTGTTGACAAAAAGTGGTCAAATACAGAAGATCAAAACAAACCTGCCTTTTTATTTACTTTTCAAAGGGTTAGTATTTCTTTGTGTCTCTTGGACTCTACTCATAATGCTGCAGGATGGCTGAATGTTGTGCCTTTATCACCACAGAAGTACTGGTAAGTGGCATCATTCTCTAGGGAGCTGAGTGAGCCTTTTAACTTCAAGAATGGGAATGGCAGAGAACCAGCTGGGACCCTTTGTTCCTCAGGAGTGGTTGGAGTCCACTGATTTTGTCATTTTTAAACCACAGGTTTTTAAGTTGAATAAAAATGTCAATTTAAAAAAACTCCTGCTAAGTGCAAATGGTTGCTTATCTCAGGGAGAAATTCCAAATATTTAACAGATTATTGAAGTCCAGTGGTTTTGAAGAATTAACCAACTCCTCAAATGTAGAAACCTGGAAACTGATTTTGGCATTTCTGGACTCTACTGACAAGTGAATAACTTACATGTATATTGAACTTGCAATTTACCAGTGATAGCAACTCAATCCAGCGGTAATAATTTCCTTGTTCAACTACAGTCATTGAACATCCCAAACCAAGCTCTCTCCCCTTTCAGTATGTTTTTGTTAAAGCTCACTAGGCTTCTAGGAAAGAAAATTGTAGGTGCATCTCTCACTGGATAGGCAGATTTCTTGGCATCAGCCATGAGCTATGCTATTTCTAATTTCATGGTCACAGAGTGAGAGCACAGGAAGCCCAAACATGAACAGAAGCCTGACCCTGTGCATATATGCACGTGTATTCATGTGTGCAATCTTTTCTGTAACACTGCCACTGCCAGGCCCAAGTCATGAGCTTACTTCCCAAGACAGCAAGTCTGACTCTCTTTCCATATTCATCCACCTCACAGGTTGAAGCTAGGCCAGAGGTGCCAGCCAGCCAGGTAGGATAAAGGAACAAGGAGACATAAATTCATTGTAGGCCAAAGACGCAGGACAGCAGTTGTCCAAGGATCTATCATACTGTTTTATACACAGTAGCTGAGTAGTACTGTTTTTACCCTTGAATGTAAGTACATTTTATGATTATGCACATTTTCCCCCTCAATATAAATCTAGTCTAGTTATAAAATCTACCCTTTTGAACTGGGCAGCATCATTTCTCTCAAGTCTGAACAAAGTCTTCATTAACACATCATATATAATTTTTTTCAATTTAAGACAGTTGAAAAATGTCAGTGCCTATTGGAGGTTTCCATGCCCCATTTAAGATTCAGGTGACAAGCAGCAAGGACCGTCATGCTACATCTAATAACAAATGTTTGTTAGTGCTGGGGAAGAGTTCAGGAATTCAGAGTAGGGCTCATTTTACTTTGGAGGGTATTTTAATTCCAGGTCTCACCATCTCCATGTCCATATTTGCCTTTGTTGTAGATCATCAGTGCAGAAAGATCAGGGAGTTGGGAGACAGTGGTGGCCCCCACAGGGATCAAGCCACAGTATTCCTGGAATTGAATAAGAGTGAATGCTTGCATCTGTTAAAGTCTTAAGTTTAAGCATCTAGGAAAGTAGTCCCAAAAGTATTTAAATGTGTACTTCATGAGTAGGAAAAAAAATCCATTACTATCATTATTGATATTCAGCTGTTTGCTTCCCCATTACTGGTCACAGCTGTGACTGTGGCGGCACTGTTTGCGATGGGAGTGAAAATTCACAAGACAGCAGGACAAAACCCTCTTGACTTTTAGAGCCAGCAGCCCTGGTTTAATCTTGACTCAGTAACCTAACTGGCTGTTTGACTTTAATTTCTGTGAGCCTCAGTTTCTTGTCAGTCAGGTGATAACTCCTCTCAGGGCCTTGGTGACTTAACAATGGTAACGATTCCAGTGCCCTTAGGCCGGTGTCTTAGGGACATCTGAACATGTATCCCATGGATGGGTCGTTGCTCTGTTCTTTGACTTGGTCTCATGCTGCCTCGTGGGTTTAATTGATGGTGGTTACTTTTGGTCTTTTTGGTCAGCCTCTCATTTCCCTCACTAGTTTAGTCTTAGATAATAAGAAAAAGCCATTTTGGTAATTTTCGCTCTTTGATACAAATCAGATTTCTCAAGGCTCTTTACAGTGTGAAGAATCTCATCTTTGTTGTTAGAAGATACTCCATTAAAGTGAACAGAAGAAGAAAATCCCCTTAGCTTTTCCTCTGTAAGTGGCATTTCTATTAAACGCAGTATAGGAAGTCTCTGCTGACTGTTGTTTGAACGCTCTTAGTTATTTGGGTGGGAAACACTTTTAAGTGAGATTTCTCATTTGCTTGAGACTGATTTTCATATTCTCTATCAGAAGGTAGTTTCAATCACACTGACATTGTGTGTAATTTTTTCATCTTGCTTTTTTTCTCTTTTCTAAAATTGCCTTTGTAGGTGCTGGCCTGATTCTCTGCAAATAGAGGAAAGAAACTAAAGTAGATTTGAAAATACTTTTATTTTACAAATATGCATGTATATATTTATGACATTGGCATATGTTACCCTTATGTTTATTGATCATCTTATTAGAGAAAAAACCTTCTCTAATTCAGAAAAATTACTAAATAGAAAATTATGGAAATACAAATTTACAAGCATAACTGTAGTTTATTTTATAAACAAAGTCTTGACTATTTAAAGTTTATATCCTTTTCAATTCCATCTTCACAGAACCTGTACGGGACTGTAAGACTATAAAATATATCGGCCACACATTTTTCATAAAAAGTAGCAGTGGGCTAGGAGGAAGATGCTGGAAATTTTAATTACATGGCAAAAAACAGTTGACCTGGGCAAGGAGTTTCACTTCATGGGCCACAGCCTCCTTCTCTGTAAAATTATGCTGATTCATTTGCATAATTCAACTTTAAAAACCATGATGTTTAATTCCAAAGATCCATTGCACAGATTAATGCAATTCTAAATAACTCTCTATCTGAAATTTCCTGCATTCTCCAAGACACAGATGTAAACATACATGAACTTTATGAACTCTCTTAGCCTTTGGAGGAAAAGATTTCTGAAAATGTATTGATTTAAAAAAAAAAATTTTCCAGCTTAGATTTGCTAACTGTTTAATACATTCCCAGCACTAGGCTGGGCAACATGAGTAGGGAAAACCAGCAGTATTTCTTGATGCAGTTAATTGCTGGAAATACCTTAAAAATAATGACAAAGCAAAAAACAGACTCTAGTTACAGCAAGTATACAAACTATAATAACGCTTATATTTATTAAGCAGTTCTTACTGCAAGCACAACACTCATTTAATCCTCAGTCCTAGCCCTGTGAGGTAAATGGTGTCATTACCCAATAGTACAGAGATAAAAAAAAAAAAAAAA